AGGCTAATTTGTAAATTGTGTTGTGTGCTTTCATCACGGGCCTGGATTTATCTTTGCCTCTCTTTTTGTGACGCTGGCAGCCAGTGATGATCATTGAATAGATCTGTTGATTCCTCAGAGGTTGCAGACAGATGATGTTCTCTCATTTCCTTCCTTAGCTGAATTACCCAAGCGGCCCGTCTGTGGCTGTCTCTTCAGCTGTTCCGGTTGCCTGAAGCCTCCTCTGATTCCTTGGAAAAGACCCCGAAGGTACCATTTCCCAAGTTCTCGCCTGTTCACAAGAATCTGCTGCTTTTATAGTGAAGATCCATTTAGCTGGATTTCAAATTCTTGGCTCCCAGTTTCTTTGAGTATCCTGAATAAGTTCCTCCACTGATTTCTGGCATGAAGCATTGATGTCGAAAGTCTAAAGACAATCTGATTTCCTTCTCCTATAAAATATTTGTTCTTTTTCTCTGGTTGCACAAAGGATTTTTTTTCTTTTTCTTTAAAATCCAATAGTTTCAGGGGCCAGCCCCTTGGCTGAGTGGTTAAGTTTGCATGCTCCACTTCGGCAGCCTGGGGCTCGCGAGTTCAGATCCTGGGGGTGGACCTACACACCGCTCATCAAGCCTCCCACATGAAGGAACTAGAATGACTTGCAACTAGGATGTATAACTATGTACTGGGGCCTTGAGTAGGGAAAAAAAAAGAAGATGATTGGCAACATCAGGGCCAATCTTCCTCACCAAAAAAAAAAAAAAAAAGCAAAAGCAAAAGAAAGCAAAGCATACCTTTGGAAAAAATCCAATAGTTTCAGAGTGGAGTTGTTGAGGACTAATTTTTCCAATATATGCAGTGTGTCTGTTCAATATTAAGTTTTGAGTTTTGTTTTTAATTTCAAGAAAGTTTTTTTGATTTTTAGTTTTTAGTATTTTTTGTTTCATTCTTTGCTTTTCTTCTCTGAGGACTCTTATTATATGTATATTGGATATTTTCTGCCTGTTTTCTATATTTATCACTTCCCCACAAACCCTTTTTTACATCTTTCTTCTTTCCTTTTTGGTTTTAAAAACTTTTCCCATCTTCCATTTCCTATTTCTCTCAAGGCGTTTTTCATTTGTTTTGTTCGTTCTCGTGTTCCCTCTAGTTTAGCCTTCATTTCTGAAATGATTTTTCTTTTATTTCCAATTCTTTTTCGAATTCTTTCATCTCTCTCTTCAAATCTTCCTTTTCCTGAATCAGCCTATTTTGGAAATTCTCTCATTCTCATTTATGTTGTCTTCCATAGTTTCCATTACTTTCTGACTTTTTTAGCTCATTTTGAAATATGAGGTACAATTTGCATCCGTCTTGCGTGTTTTGGGCATTCTGCCGTCGTCTGTAGTGATATTCTATCTCTTATCCCCTTTCTTCCTGTAAAGACGCTGTTGGTTTTTGACTACAGTCCTTTCCGGGGGCTCATTTTTAGTGACCTGAGTTTCCCTCCACTTTCGGGAGGAACAATGACAACAGAGCTTTGCTGGTTCCCGTCTACAGAGCTCCCCCTTCTGTTGGTTTCTTGAAGAAATTTACCCAACATGACCTGGCCCGTCCCGAGGCCCGAGGCCCTCGTCCCGCCCGCCGCCTCTCCTGTCCACTTGCCCCCTTCGCCCTGCTCCTCTGTTGTTCCGTTTGGAGCTGCTCCCACCCTTTCTCCTCGGGGCTGGGGCTTCATTTTGTTAGCTCTAAAGGGGTTCTCCAGACGGCCTGGAGAAATTTCCTGGGAGTTCCGTTGGTGGCTGGAAGTCTCCATTCTCGGGGGGGGGGGGGGGGGCATATCAAAGTCCCCTCCCCTCGCCTCCTCTTCCTTCTGCACAGTTCCGGGTGTCAGGTGGCTCGTGCAATGATGGGTAGCTTGACCAGCCACACCGGAAGGTGGAGTCAAGGAAGCTGGTTGCCAGGCGTCGGTGTCGTCCCTGGGTCCTTGGTTTTGCTAACTTAGCTGCTGTGAATGTTTTACTGGCGGGATTCAGAAACTGCTCTACGACCTGGTGGCACAACTTGGTAAATTTATCAAAAATCGCTGAATTGCACACCGGAAATGGATGAATTTTATGATATATAAATTACACCTGCATAAAGTTTAAAAACCCTCACAGACAAGCCTGCACCGCGATCGTTGACCTCTTGCCAGAATTCCCCTTGTCCCTGGTCACGTCAACCACCAAGCGTCACCAGACAGAAAGGGAAAGCCTCAGGGACGGAGATGAGCAGGGCCCCCATGTCCTGGTCTCCTCCCCGCCTGGGCGTGGGGTGGGTCACCTCCCCGGCCCTGGGAGCTGGTCTTGGCCGTGAGAGTGTGATCAGCACAGCCGCGTGCTGCTTCTGGGCTGAGGCCCTTAAAGCTAGGGTGCTCTTCCCACACTCCCCCCTCTCTACCCTGCAGCCCTGAAGCTCAGCCACCAGTCCCTTCTAGCCAGACCCAGTCCACGTGGGACAGGAGAGAGCGATTGAGGCACACAGGGAGAGAGGGCAGCTGGGAGGAGACAGAAATAGGTCAGAGAGGAGAAAACCAGAAGCTTCCAGTCTTTTCTAAACCTTCCCATCCTTTCCCATTTGTTTCACTTGCAACTCTGAAAATTCATATCCCAGGTTTGCTTGATAAAAGGTACATTGGTGTAGACCCAAATAGATGGCCTCTCTGTTTTTAAGACCATTATGCCCCCAGCCAGGTGTGATGGTCGCCTGCACAAACAGCACCACCAAGCGGCCACTTCTGCAGAGCCAGCACGACGCTGGTCACCAGGGTTTACCCCACTGATGGTTCCAGGAGAGCAATGAGGTCCAGGGAGGCCTCTCCTGAGCTTCTCACAGCCAAGAGTTTCCCTTCTCAAGACTGGGTGCACGAGGAGACCACACACATCACCTTTGGTGAAACAGAGAGCCCAGATGTGAAGAACAGCAAGTGGAGAACAGGCAAGCTGAGTAGTGGACCTGGAAATGATGACCTCCTGTTACCTGTGCGCAGGTCCGTAGGGAGGCCAGGCCCCGGACTGGGGGTGGAGGGTGCTGCAGCCTCCTGGTTAAGCATTGGGAACTGGGGTGACACAGGTTTGGCTGGACTCGCATCTCTGTCATTTATTAGCTGTGTGGCATCAGGCAAGTTCCTTCCCCTCTCTGAGCGTCATCTTCCCTGTCTCGCTGCTTAGTTCGAAGGACGAAAGGAGATAGTCCACATAAAGGACTTAGTGCAGTGACAGGCGCTAGCAAGCATTGGTTAAATGCTGGCTGGGCCCCCCAGATTGTGGCTTCACCTCCTAGAACTCTCTGCCGAGAAAGAAAATCACCCATCCTTGCAGTCTGCCCTCCGTTGTCTGAGGTCAGGCGGCTGGCTGGCACGCTTGCTCCAGGCCCTTCTTAGCTTTACAAGACTCGGAAGAGACCCCATGGGCTGGTGCAAATGGAACCACAGGGAGATGTCTGCAGGGAACACACGGCGAGGGAGAAACGACTCCGTGGGAGCCGTGGAGTCAACAGTCACCGGACTGTTCCTACTGGACTGACTCGTCCATGAGGAGAGAGCCCGCCCGCTGTGAGCACAGGTTCCACAGAAACCGTGGCTGATGGGATGGCTGCGGTCACCGTGTGTGGACACACCTGCATCTCCGCCCAGGGAGCCGGGCGCGGGGGAGGTGAGGCGGGGCTGCGGGCTGCAGGGGTGCGCCCGTGGGCTGGCGGCGGGCAGGGCGGGGTGAGGCCGCAGTCTCTGGGGTTGTTTTGATCTCCCAGGCACAGAACGTGCTCTTTGCAGAACTCTTTTTCAGGCCTCGGATTGCTGATGAAACACGATTCCACAACAAAGGAACCTGGCCCGACGTCCGATCGCACATCCCCCAGGCCCCTCCGCCCCACATGTCTCACCGCCTGCTCCCCAAACCTGTTCTCCCACATTCTCTAGATCCATGGATCATTCATTACTCAGTCACCATTTCTTAGTCCCCACGCTGAAACCGGGTGTCCTCCAGCCTCTTCCCCTCCCTCCACGCGCCTCCTTCTCTCCCAGCCTCACTCATCAGATCTGCTGACTCTGCCGTAGACTCGCCCAGGGCTCACTGCTCCCCTCCACCGCCACCGGTGCCTAGCGGCCCTCTCACCCTGACCTCGGCGATGGCTCTCTGGGCGGACAGCCGCTGCCACCACGTGCACCCCACCATTTCTCCACAGTTGTCCAGAGCCTTCTTTCTGAAGCCAGGCACATGCCCCACTAAAACTTCAGTGGCGTTATTACTAAGGAAAGAAGGGGAGCGTGGTACCGGGAAAAGTCTGCGTCAGACTCAGTACGGGCCAGGCACTGTGCTAAACCGTTTACACGACTCCCTCGCTTAATCACCAAGCTTGCACGAAATAATGCACGCAGCAGCCTACTTCCATGCCACACCCTGTCCTTCCCCACAGGAAGCCTTTCTCAGGTGTACCTTCCTTCTCGAGGCAGCAGCCAGAGGCTCAGTGGGTGGTGATGGAAAATGTCCCTGATGGAAAACGCTATCATTATTCCTCTTTAACAAATAAGAAAAGAGAGGCTCAGAGAGGCTAAGTCACTTGCCAAATGTCACACAGTAAGTGATGAAGCCTTATTGTTGTCTCAGGTAATCTGCCTCCCTGGGCCATGTGTTTAAACACCTACACCGTCCTTAGGAATAAGAAGGCCCTGCACCTCAGGAACGCTTGGGCTAGCAGGAGAGATGTAGACAAATAACTCCAATAAACAAGGCACCTACATGAACTGGGAATGACCCATATTCTGGAGGCCCGAGGAAGTCGTGGGCCCGGTGGTTCCCTTAGCTTCTGTCCACCTCGCAGTCCAGCTTTTGCGTTACATCAGCATAGCCTTCACAATGCTCAAGTCTAAATATTTCCTTACAAATATTACAGCAAACTGTATGATTGGAGAATGGACCCAGCGAAATGATTGTTCCCCACCTAGCTCTGCTCTCAGGACCCCCCTCCCTCCCTCCCTGCCTCCCCCCTCCCTTTCTTACTTTCTCTTTTCCTTCCTCCTTGAAGGCTTATGAAGCCCCTGCTTCTGCCAGGTACGGTGCTGGGAGCGGGGAGGCAGTGGCGCGTAAGACGCACACCTCACCCTCGAGAGACAGCGTTCCCACAGCAGCAGGGAAGAACATGGACTTAGAGCCCGAGTGTCTCCATGGTAATTCCAGCTGCACTACTTACTAGCTGTGTGACCTTGACAAGTTACCCAGCCTCTCTGGATCTTAGTTCCCCATCCGTAAGATGGCGTAGCATAGGTACCCACCTAGATGGTGGCCATACGGGTCACAGTGAGAGGATCACACACAGGTCGCTTAGAACAGAGCCTGCATGGGAACACACATGTACGTGCTTGTGGCTGCTATTCGCATGCAGCGAAGGGCAGTCCTGCCAGCTGTGGCGTGGCCCCTTTATTCTCCCAAGATCCAGCGTACAGGACGCTGGGGTGCCTGCCACACAGGGGCCTCTCTGTCAACAAGTCAGCGACCCCCATAGCCATCGTCGCTCTGGTTTGAGTTGAGGACTCTGGATTCCTTTGTGTGGCTGGAATTTCTCCCCTTGGTGCTGAGGCGTGGGGAGCACAGGACTGATCTGGGGGCGTTTCTGGCGTGACATGTTTTGTGTCAGGAGACAAAACACTGGTGAAAACCCAGCTGTGAGGAGAGGCCGAAAGACCTCGCTGGGCAAGGAAAACCACAACCTTTGTCAGCCCAGAGCGAGCGCTCCCCCAGGGAGCCGACAAGCGGAGGGGAGAGCGTGGTTCAACTGGAAAGGCCGAACCCTCCGCCCACCGGGCCTCCCTAGGGGGGACGCACTGGGGGTCGGCCCCCACCACAGAGCTTCACCACCCACAGGATGCGCATAGTGTGTGTGTTTGAGGGGGTGTGTATGTGTGTGCGGCGGCTGTATGTGGTATGTCTGTATGTGCACGTATGTGGTGTGTGGCATGTATGTGTGCAGTGTGTGTATATGTGGGGGGGTGTGGTGTGTATACATGTGTGTATGTGTGTGGTGTGTGTATAGGTGGAGTGTGTGGCATGTGTGTATGTGTGTGTGGTGTGCGTATATGTGTATGTCTGGGGTGTATGTGTGTGTGGTGTGTGCATGTGCATGGTGTGTACACATGTGTGTGTGTATATATGTATGTGGCATGTGTGTATGTGTGGGGGGGTGTATACGTGTATGTGGGGGGGTGTATGTGTGTGTGGAGTGTGTATACGTGTACGTGTGGGGTGTGTATGTGAGTGTGTGTGTGTATGTGTTGGGGGTGGGAAGGCAGGGACCCTGACCCCGCCTCATGGATGAGGAGGCAAGCATTTTAAAGTGTTCTTGGATTGGGTGTATTTTAAGGTGCTGTCAGGAGTAATTATTCCTCTCTCAGGGACTTTATTTTCCTTTATAAAGTTAGGCAACGGCACGTGTTTGAAGCGGGTCAGCACAAAAGAGCGGTCTCAGTAGCCGGCCTGTGTTGTGATCTGCGAGACTTTGTAACTGACACCCCGTCCCAGTCAGTCAGAGCCGCGTCCCCGAGAGCGCAGGGCTGTCCCCCTGCGGGGAGTCTCTGGAGCGGGCTGCCAGTGCCGGCAGACAGAAAGGCCGCGTGTGCTCACGTGACCTAAAGCTGTGGTTCAAGTGTTTCCGTGCAGACGAGTGGGCCCAGAGCCGCCAGCGCCGTCCCAGAAATGACGACATGGCCTTGGCTTGGGAGGGCTCGGTGGCTCCCCTGAATCAAAGGGGGACGGAGGGAGGCCGCAGGGACCCGGGCGATGGCCAGCGCTCCACTTCCCGCCGCCCTGCTCACCAACTGTGCGTCAGCTTGCTGAGCCTCAGTTTCCTTGTCTGTGAACGGGAGCAAAGAACACAGCCCTCCAGTCTCTTACCTACCATCCCCAAGTCTAAAAGCTATAAAGACCGACATCCTTTTCTCAACTCATTTCATCTAGTTGTTCTGACTTAATTAGGCTGTGAAACCCTTCTCTGACCTGGCCGACCCTTTTGATAGTCTGTGTTTATTTTATTTAATGTGAATAGACATGCTCTGCTACAGAATTATGAATGTGTTGGTTATGGGGTACAGCCCCAGACCGCTGGGTGCATGATATTAAACGCTTGCAACATATTATTTTTCTAAAATCCAGAAATGTCTGAATTCCAAAACACTTTTGTCCCTAAGGATTTTCGATCCTGGATTGTGGACGGTACCGTCTGCACAGGATGGTGAAGGCTGCCTGAGGCCATGCGCCTGGAACACCGGGCTGCCTGCCTCAGGTCACTGCCTTGCCCTCCGTCCCAGTGGCCTGTTCTCGGGCAGCTTCCTGCTTCAGGCAGCGGCCGAGACCGTTGCTATTTTTGTCCACCTGCTCACTCTCTCCTAGTCTATAAACTCCTGGAGGGTAGGGATTGCGTGCCAGTGGTTAGCAGCACAAAGTCCACGTTCAACAAACATTTAAAAAATAAATGCAGCCCTCATTGAGCAGGCCTCAGCCGGCCTCCTGGCCTCCTGATCACCTTTCCGGGAAGGTGCAGTGGGAGGGGTTGACTCCAGTTGCAGAAGAGACCAGAAGGTGCAGGTCTTGGGAAAGCCAGCAGGAGAGGCTGCCCAGGAGGCAGTGGCAGGGACCCCTACATCTGGGTTTGCCCCTCACAGTCCTGGTTTATGCCTGTTGTCATGGGATAATTGTTAGCTCCCACTGTTCCTCTTTTATTCCCAAATGTGTCCTCAGCTGGATGATCAATGATGCGGTCATGCCGTGCAATGAGCAAGAGCAGAAGTCCAGGGTGTACGGCTTTTTGTTGCCTCTCCTTTCACTGAAAAGAGAGAAGAGGGGCTCTGAAACGGTGGGGATGGAGGGTTAGAGGAGACACAGAGGGGAGAGTTCCCAGCAGCGAACTTGACCCCCAGCGACGATGAAGAGCCCAGACTCTGTAACTCCTCAGTCACGGGTGGTTTCGTGCCACCCCAAAAGCTATGCGCACCTCCTAACCCCGGGAACCTGTGAATGCAGCCTTGTCTGGAAAAAGCGTCTTTCTAGATGTAATTCGGTTAAGGATCTATCTTGAGATGAGATCACCTGGCTTATCCTGGTGGGCCCTAAATTTGATGACAAATTTCATTATAAGAGATACACAGAGGAGAGATGCCTTCTCAGGGAGGAGGAGGAGGAGGCCACGCGAAGATGGGAGCAGAGATGGGACAGATGCAGCCACAAGCCCAGCAGTGCCTGGGGCCGCCAGAAGCTGGAAGAGGCAGGAAGGACTCTCCCCTGGAGCTTTTGCAAGGGGCACAGCCCTGCGACACCTTGATTTCAGACTTCGGAGCTCCATAGCTGTGAGAGAATAAATTCGTATGGTCTTAAGCCACCCAGTTGGTGGTAATTTGTGCCAGCAGCCTCAGGAGATGATCCATGTAAGATGAGTTAGTTGACCTCCGCGGATCTCAGTGGCCTCATCTAAAAATGAGCACCTTCCCCATAGGGTTGCTTTCAGGAGTAATAGGAATTATACACGTAAATTGCGTGGCACTAAGTAGGTCCTTGATATGATGGCTGATGAAGGGCGGTTAGGAAATGTTGCTTTCATCCAGCAGATGGCAGAAGATGGGCTTGCAAACCCCAAGACTGCTTAAAGCTTCCTGCCCAGCAACCAGCACCTGCCCTAAGTGCAGCCTTCCCGGCCCAGCACGCCAGCTGAAGAGGATTAACCCTCCTGCCTCGAAGCGAGCTTTCAGTGTGCAGAAATTAAACTGACTGTTTCCCTTCGACTGTTGCACACAATAGAGGCTGGCACTGGTGAATATAAAGAGAGGCGTACAACAAATACTATTTGGGTTCTACCCCAGCTCTGTGACTGCATTTGGACTCAGTTTCCCCATCTGTAAAATAACGATAAATGAAATGTGAAACACAACATAAATTAGAGGGCTGGTGTGAGACCAAAAGGACCTGCTGTGCCAAAGTGCTGGGAAGGCAAAATGCCACACGACACAGAAGGGGCCCCAGGGGTTACCTCCACAGGAAGCACAGGGTCCTGTCAACTGGGTCATTCATTTATTAATTCAGCAACCATTTACTGGGGTCAGGCAGTGCTCTAGGTCCTGGGAATGCTGCTCCGGGAAGCTGGCACGCTACTTTAGGAGGACAGACACGTGACAACGGTGCACAGGACGTGAGCTTCTCTTACATGCTGCGGTGACACTCTCACTCTGCATTTTGGCCTAAGAAACACAGTTGAATGAGCAGTCCTCTTGGTAAAACATTTTATATTTCCTTCCTAATTTCTTTAAAAATTTCCGCCCTTGTAAGAAATCTATGGTTTGTGGTTCAGTGAAGAAATGAAATTGCGGGACTGTGTGCACAGACAGCTCTACGCATGGACCTTAACAGTGGCTGCTTCCGGGAAGACGTGGAGGTGGTACTTGGAAAAATGGGACTTTTCCCTTCCAGTTTCTGTACTTCTGTGTCACTTGCATTTTTTAACAAGCGCACATTGCTTCTCCCACTGCAAAAAGAACAATAATAATTTTGTTAATAACCCTGTCCTCAGAAATCTCTTCTGCACTCACTTGGCCAGTCAAACGCTGTGATGAGCCCTAATGATGGAGCAGCCCGTCTCCCTTTTTGGAAGACAATTAAAGGAAGGGAAAAGCCTACATCCGCTCTTCTTTGTACTCTTGTAAAGAGGTCATCTACCCGGAAGTGATCCACGCTGTTTCAAAGGCCTTCTCCTCTTTAAAGTGGTTTGCAAACAGTAGCTCAGCAACCCTCAGGGCATCCCAGGGAGCCAGGCTCCTCTAAGAGGCAGGTGAGTCACTCGGAGGTGCCGGGCTGAGGGCTGCGCCGCCCTGTGTCAGCGGCCGCAATGGCCATAACATGAGCCTACAGCTTTACAGGGTTCAAAGGGCTTTCTCTGGCACTCTCTAGGATGACCCTTCTATGACCCTTAGGAGGTCAGGTCGGTACTGCTGTTCCTATATTAGAGATGGGGAAGGAAGGTTCTGGAAAGTGCAAGAACAAGCCCAAGGTGGGGGAGCTAGTCAGCAGCAGGGTTTAAGATCTCTGATATGTCAGTCACTGGTGATGGCTGATGTCCAGTCCTCCCTGACATACCTTTTGCGTTGGGGGTGGG